ATTTATTATTCTTATATTCCGTGTGTCGATGTTCTTTGTTCTCAGTAGTTTTATTAACAGATTATTTTTCACTGTATCGAATGCCTTGTTATAATCTAGGAAGCAGACATAGATGTCCTGATTTACATCTAGACATCTTTGTATTAGCACATTTACTGCATCTAATTCTTCTCTGGTTCCTTGAGCATTTCTAAATCCGAACTGAGTTTGTCCAATGTCTTGTTCCAACTTTTTATATATTCTAGGATGAATAATCTTTAGGAATACTTTTAATATGTGGCACATTAGCCTGATGGTACGGTGATCGCAACATTGTCTGGCGTTTTTCTTTTTCGGCATAGTCACGAATGTTGATATAAGCCATTCTTTAGGTAATACACCTGTTCTGTTTATGGTATTAAATAATTCGACAATAACATGTATATTGCAGTCGGCTATAAGTTGCAATATTTCGTCTGGTTCTACTGCTTTGGTCCAAAGAACTGTATTCGTATCATATAATCTTGAGCTTTGTGTAGTCCAATTTCGTCATCCCAGGATAAAATACTAATTTTTCCTCCCTTAGCTATATGACGAGAAGATAAGCCTATGTACATAATACTAATAGATAATGGACTCTAGATAGATACATATTGAACAGTAGATGAATCGTTTTATACATTAAAAAGTATTTTTGGAATTTGCAAAGTATGAAAAATGTTGTCTCAAACTCTTATTTACATGATCCCTCTAGGTTTATAACTCAAATTTTAGAGCAAAGATTTTTGAACTCTACTATTTGGTTATGTATATTTTATAGGTTATGGATCAAATACCAATTATTTTAGGTTTGGTAAACACTCCATTGTCATCATAGACATATGATTGTCATAGTTTATATTATAAACAAGAAAATTTAAATATACAAATGAAGGGTTTTGAAGACAAAATAACAAAAATAATAAATACAGTTTAGTTTTACTTTACTATCATTTTTTTAGTTACTTATGGATACATTCTTATTTATTTCTTGTGCTAATATTCTGTAATTAGTGCAATACTTGTTTTTTTTTTATTTAAAACAATGTTAAGTTCATTTTTAGTTTTATTTTCACAATTCCTTTACTTCCCATTATCCAAACTAACCACTATACCTTAAGAGCGTAGGCGTAGGGGCAAAATTTCGGGCTAATGCTTTTTACATGCATTCATTTTTTTTCGAATCCTGAGAAAACTAATAAATATTTTTGAGAAATTTAAACGCAGAATGAAAGAATACATTATTACCGAGGGCCGAAAATCCCTGAAAACTTCTATAATGTTTATTTTAATCAGTTACAGGGGTGAAAAAAAAAATAGAAAATTTAGTGTGATTTTTAATTTGAAATATCTCATTCAAAAAAACTTTTTGTTTATTCTAAGTAAATTTGTCAAAAATATTTGTTAGTTTTCTCGGGATTCGAAAAAAATGAATGCATTTCAAAAGCACTGGCCCGAAATTTTGCGCCTATGCTCTTGTGTGGAAGCTTCCACTTCGACATTGCTTCTATTTGTGTAGACTTGGATGTATAGTCTATCTTCGCAAGGTTTTATTTGAAGTGACTGTTTAAGTACAGTTGAATACCAGGATGTTGATGTACACAATTTTATTTTTCTTGCGAATAATTAACAGTTTATAGTTGAACAATTACAGTTTTTACAACGTTCAATTTTGTATAACAGAAGAGCTAACCAATCAAATAAAGAAATGAGAGATAAGTTTGAGAAATCAAATAAATCATTATCACTATCCTCTGAAGAGACTTTAATTTAAGAGAAAAGCTAACACGAGGAAAAACTTTGAGACACGTTGACCAGCTGAAGAGCAAGTGTAGGAGAAAATTGGGAATATGTAAAGATAAACGTGAAACAGGCAACGAAACAATATGGGTGAGATGCAAGGTGATCTTAGGTGACAGATTATATCTGTGATACAATATACGAATGGCGTATGTCTTAAAGTTAAAAGTCCAAAAAAATACTTATACTGTAGAGAGATTTCTCTAAGCTAAGAGTCGGCATGGAAAATGTGAGGCTGAAATATGGTCTTTTAGAAGAATATTAATGTAACCATTCGAAAGGGGGGTTGTTTGAATATGTGGCATAACTCTTGCAGTTGTATAGAAGTCCCGTATTAAAGAATAAACATCATGTACAATTAACCATATAAGAATTCAAAAACTTATGGAGGTGATCACAATATCAAAGAATGTTGGGTGGAATCAAAAATACCTGAAACGTCGCTAGAAAACACGTTATAACTGTGACAAAAAATGGGACCGTAATAATAATTGTGATGACTATAAAGGTATCAGTATATTGAATGTAATCTATAAAATACATTTCAAAATTATTAACAATAAATTACAAATTATACGAGAACAACTAAATATGGTTCTTGAAAAAGTAGGTGTACCTACTAACCACAATGTTGAGTTGGGTACAAGTACAAGTTTTGCACTAGTATTAGAAGGAATACATTTTTGGGAAAAATCAGCTTGTTTTTTCAGTATTCCCCTTAAAAATCAATAGTTTGATGATTTTGATTCTTGTAAATGCAGAGAAATTACATGGTGCCAAGTCAGGACCCATCAAATCGATATTGTTTGGCCTTCAAATTGAAGCCGTTGAGAGCTAGTATATTCCTGATGTAAGAGAATCCAACGATTCCCGTTATTTTTGTAAAATATATTAATCACTTTGGGAAAATAAATACTCCATGGATTTTCAATCTCTCAATATTTTTTACCATGAAAAATGTAAAAAATTCAAGTAAGTTCCGCTGGATGGCTCTAAAAAAACTCAATTGTACGCCTCGTATATATACCTGATCAGAGCAATGAAGGGTGTGTACACGAACAGATATACATATATTGGTTAGTTTGAGGCACACAAAGTGAACGAGGTGGCGTTGCTCAGAATCGGAGGAGATGTAGGCATGTTTCTTATGCGTGTAGGACCATTTTTACTAGCACAGAAACAAAAGAAGAAATATTAGGGAGATGATAGCTACCACAGCTAAATCAGATATATGTGATGAAAAATACAAAGAAAACAAGTTATCAAAAATTTGGTAGAAAGGACTGAAAACAAGTTATAAAACAAAATTTGCCAAAAAGTAGCTCGTCACTTTGTTTTTTTTTTGGGAGGTACAAAGAAACCTCAAAACCAAAATACCTAAAGTAAACAAATACAATATAAAATACAATAAAAAATACAATAAAAAATAGCCAAAATACATGTAGAGACAAATAAAAGGTATTTATCACACTTGCCTCGTATGTTTGCTTAGCAAACATGTTATCAAAGATTTATTTGTGATCTAAAAGAAAAGAAAATTGTTATAGAAATTAAAAATAATACAAAATTATTGTAACGTAAAGCCATATTTATTATCAATCAAAAACAAAAAATTTGGACATTTTCTAAAAATGATATTAAAATTGAGTGTTATTAAAAAAAATTAAAATTGAAACTTGAGTCATTACTATATCATGGTAGATGTATTTTAGTTCTTAATCTACATACATAATTTAGTGTTGCACACAAAAAAGAAACAAATGGTCATAAAATAAAAAAAAACGGAATGTACCCTTTTATAAAGCACTAACACTGCACGTCATTGGGTACATAAAATGTTGAAGAAAAATATAAATGGTAACAGGCGAATAGATTCGATTAGATATTTTAGTCGATTCGATAATCTATTTGGTTAGATTCGGTCCAATTTTAATCGATTCATTTCGGTTTATTGTATTTTATTTTATAAAATATATAAAAATAGACGTATTTTACACTCAAAATTCATTTTAAGTGTAAAATCATTTTTCCAAAACCAGAGGACTGCCTCTAGGAGAATATTATCCAAAACAATTAACTCAGGGTGTGTACGGAATTAACCGTAACCTAACTATGGATAATTGGTGTACGCCAGTACCGCTAGCATAAGAGTTCGTAAAACCTCCTTACAATTTAACTATAGTTGGTACTCTACGGAAATTTAAAAGAGAAATATCTAGCGAAATGATAAATCTCAAAAATCATGAAATTGGTCGATCCTTATTTTGCTTCGATGGTAAAAAACAATGGTATCCTATAAGACAAAAGTAAATAAATCTGTGCTTCTTCTGTTGACAATCCACAACGGTCCAGTAGAATGTGATCCAACTGGAAAGCAAGATATCATTAAATTTTATAATGCAACCAAATACGGAGTAGACACGTTTGACCAAATGTGCGGAAACATGAATATTTCCAGAAAAACAAGATGATGACCTCTTTGCTTGTTCTCTGGCATGATAAATATAGCTTGCACAAACTCTTGTATAATTTATAATCATAACCAACAACGACAGCAGAAAAAAAAATCATCCATCCTTGGCTACAGCATTCTGTAAATTGGCCAACTTGGAACCGCTCGCTAAAGTAGCTTATTGAAAATATTTTAAATTTGGAGTCGCAGCAAGAACTATTGTGTCAAAACGTGCAATGTTGTCTGTCTAAAAAACGTCGAATGGCAACCCATCATTGCGCGAGCACTGCCGACATCAATTTTGTGGTGAACATCGCGCCCTTTGTTCTCAGCACTGTAGTTCTAAAATGTAGAATTTATGATTTTTTTTGTGATTTTTAGGTTTTAGAAACACCTCTTTGTTCAAAATAATTTGTAAAATGAAGATAAATAAAATACTTTTTCAGTGACCACCAGGTATTTGAAACTGCTTAACGACAGTTCCAGTGCAAAATATTAAATTTTTTTTTCTTCTTCCAATTTAATTTTTCTAATTCTTCTCGTGAATTAACTCCATTGGCATACACTACGAATTCATATGTCCCAAAAATAAAATGGACCGGATTATACCGGGATTATTGGTTGCCATTCAAAATCACTTTCTCTGTCGATCTATTGTTGAAAATATATATCAATATAATGATTTCTAATAGCCAATGGGAAATGAGAAAACGTTAAGTAAACACACAAATATTCAAAAATAAATGATTTATTATATAATATTGACATATAAAAATATATATCATTTGTTTACAAGGCATCTACAAAATGGAATCTAGGTATCTAATACTACGGCAGTACAGAGTCTTCGGGTAATTTCTAAAATATTAGTATAATAAAGACATATAGCTATATAGATAGGCACCATATTATAATTAAAAATTCATAAATTATTTAAAAATCACTGTATTAATCTATTCATTATATTCATATATTCATTAAATATTCACTACTTAAAGTTAGAGAAATAACAACCCTCTTAACCTATAGGCTTCAACTTCGAGAAAAATTAATTGGATTAATGACAATAAATAAAATAGTTCTTTAAAACGCCAGTCTTTCAATTAAGCCATTCTGTTTTAACTAGTACGGAAATAAACCTTTGAGTTAACGAAAATGATAAAGAAGACTTGGTGCCAACTGTACTTTCAGACGTTAAAAAAATTAATAAACACAAATAACACAATATGCTTACAGTCTAAATAAACACAATAAACATAAAATTAATTTTAGTTTTTATCTCGGTTTGACACAAAAAATGCTTATTACATTAACAAATAAAAATTAATACCTATAAATTTTAGATTCAAATATGTTTAGCTTCTTTTCAGAATAGCTGCAATTGCAAAAAATAGATTCAATATTTAATTATAGAAGTAAAAACCTTCTATGTTCATTTAATGTTCAATAATATCGATTCGTTTACTGTAATATAAAAAAAATTAAAGAAAACCAACCAACCATCTCCTGGGTGGACCGAATAACAAACATTGAGGTTCTGCGTCGGATAAATAAAACATACCTATGTGAAATTTATAGCAAGCTAGAATATCTTGGACATATAATGCGAAACGATCATAGATATAACCTGTTGCAACTTATATTACAGGCAAAGGTCTACGGAAAGAGGAAGTGGAAGAACCAGGAAGAAGAAGAAGAACTTGGCTCCAGAACTTACGAAAATGGTTTTCCTTGACCACTTCAGGACTATTTCAAGCTGCGGTCAATAAAGTTAGAATTGCCATGCTAGTAGCCAGCATTCGTAACAGATAGGTACCATAAGAAGAAGAAGAACCGATGACTATGCACTCTAAGAAAAGGCTTTCAGACCGAATAATTTCTACGAATTAATCACCACATCCTAATAATTTATAAAATTACAAACAGTGATGCAAACCAAAATCAACTTTGGAGAAACTGTTAAAAAAAAAATAGTAAAACTTTGCATACAGTCATTGTATACAAAGGTGAAACATGAACTAGTGGGCATGAATCCACGTTTAATATTAATTTAAGTAACATTGATTACTTGATTTACCCTGAATATTCTATTCTTTCCTATCTATATCTAAAGCACGGTACTTAAAATGTAGTGAAAGTTTGAGTCATAGTTCGTAATGGTAACTTCACACGGTCCAATCCAGGATTTAATAAATCGTAAGTTTATTCCTTTTATATTGAAAAAATAATTGTTAAAACACTAAACATTACGTTAAATGTTATATTACCTTCTTCAGAACATCATCATCATCAACACCTGTACGTTTCAAAATTATATTTTTTAAGTGTGTTATTCCTGTTTGTTCTTCATAGTTTGTTGTAAGTTTTGGTTGCTGTTCCTTTTTGTCTGTATTTGCATTTCTTGATAGTTATGGTTTTATGTCTTCTAACCACCTTTTTCTAGGTCCTTCTCTGCATATGAGTCATAATGGAGTCTAGTTGGTTGTCTTTTTCAACATGTCTGAATGTAAACTTCTCAATATAATATATTCTAGACAGAGTGACTTTATATTTGTGACAATCCGTTAAATTGATTTTTAAGTCTAGGATTTATTTTCATTCTTCTTTGTCCTTTCCTTGTTATATTTGCACCTCGTATTTACTTTTTATGTATTGACACTAAAATTCCTGTGTCCAATTCATCTGGCAACATATTTTGTATCCTTATTTGTTGTATGAAAAGGTATATTTCTTCCTGTTGTTTTGTTAGACTATATTTTATTAATTCGATTGGTATGTCATCTTCTCCTGCTGCCTTTCTGTTTTTAAATGTTTTAATCTTTTTTTTTAACTTTTTCTTCTGTGGGTGCTTAAGTTTGGTCATTTTTTTTTTGGTCGAGCAGAAAGTACTGGGGTTTTCTGTTAAACAATGGGAATTTCCATTATCATCATTCTGGCTTTCCTATCCTCCTATTCCTATCCTCCTCAAGAATTTCTCTCCAGTTGTCCCTATTTATCGCCTCCGCCAAGAACGTTTTCCATACTCCTCATGTCTTCATCGATGTTATAAAGGAAGCTTGTTTTGTGTCTTCCTCTTCTTCTCTAACCAATGAGTCTATCAAGGAGTGTGTTTCTAGCTGGGGCATTTTATTTCATCTGCATTATATGCCATATCAAATTCAGACGTCCTATCTTAATATTTTTTACGATATCTGGTTCCTGGTATATTCTATAAAGTTCGCAGTTCTATCGTTTTCTCCACACTTCATTTTCATTCACCGCTCCATAGAATTGCCTTAGAACTTTTCTTTCGAAACGTGTTTTCATTACTATTTGTTAGAGACCATGTCTTTGAATTATATGTAGGATTGAGCCCAAAATAGCATCTGTTGGCCATGCAAATCCTGCAGTTTGTATTTGCGGTAGTATTATTTTCAGTGTTGACAAGCGTTCCCAGGTAACAAATTTGTTCACTATTTCGATGACGTCATTTTCTATAAAAAGTAGCCATAGGATTTGTGGTTGTATGCTTATATTCATATTTCAGCCCATATTAAACGATTAAATGAGGGGCTCGGCAGTAAATAATGGTAACGGACAAATTTTGATTTTTCCCGAAATATTATGTAAAAGATGGCAAGGGACATGGCAACGCAGAAAACTTGACTTATTTTATCCTCCGAATAATAGGTGGCGTCAGATTAATTTCTTAAAATTTGGTAAGGGACATGCATAAGCATGAAAATAATGTTATGTGTCCATGATGGCGGAATACAAAGCAGGTTGTTCAAATCTAAATGACTTTTTTGATGTTAATAGTGACAATTCTGAGAGCTATGATGATTACGACTCAGATAAAGATCCTGAATTTCAAATATTTAGTGAAGCTAGCTCGATTAACTTTCTACAAAGAAGGTAATTTATTTATATTCTTAGAATCATTGTTTGCAAGTAAAAAATGGTAAAGGATGTACTTAACATTGTTTACATCCACATTCACTTTGCATAAAAACTTAACATTTTTTACTTGCAAATATGAAAATGAATTCTCTGCAGCACTATAATACTTAATATTATTTTTATTTATGTTTTAGAAAACTTTTGAAAGAACATGGACTTCAAGAAATTTCTTCTCACACATACCCAGAGTCCAGTACTGAAGAAGAAGAGGAGGAAGAAAAAGAAAATAGAGGAGAATTAAATGAACACAGTAAACAAGAAAAAGAATATTCTGTTTCAGACACAAAATCTAGAAAAAGGAAACGCAATTTAAGTAAGCAATTAAAAACAAAAGAGCTCAGAAATCGCGGAAAAGAATATAAACAATACAGAGGTAAGGGAAATATTGTTTTATCAAAAACACAAGGTCCACCGTGTAGTTGCCCCAATAAATGCTATGAGTTATTTGCTTCTCATGAAGAACTACAGACAATTTTTGTTAATTTTTGGGGCATGAACAGTTTTGATACACAAAATGCTTACTTACAAGGTTGTATGAGATCTAAAAATGTGACTAGGAAGAAAACTAAAGCACTAGTGTCAAAAAGATCTCAAACTATTGAATATAAATTAAAATCACAAGGGAAAGATGTTAAGATATGCAAAATGGCTTTCCTAAGTATCCATGGCTTACAGAAAAATCGAGGTCGAGTTGAAAATCTAGTAAAACAATTAAAAACTGGATCAAATACTCCAAAATCAGATCTAAGAGGTCGACATTCAAATCATCCTAAAAAATATTCCAATTCTGATATAGATTTTCTGAAATCTTTTATTGAAAGCTTACCTAAGTACAAAAGCCATTACACCCGTGCTGACAGTTCTAGACAATATATGAGTATGGAATATTCTATTCAGACTTGTTATGAGAAATATGTAGGAGAATGCATTTTGAAAAAGATAACTCCAGTTTCTGCAGATAAATTCAGAAGAATATTTACTGAAGAATATAATATAAGTTTCAAAACTCCGAAAATGGATACATGTCAAGCATGCGATAAGTTTTCAGTAGCTTTAGAAAATGCTAAGTTACACAATGATGAAACTGAGGTTAAAAAAATTAAAACTGAACAAGAATTACATCACAGAAAAGCTGAAGCAGGTCAACAGGCAGTCAGAGACGCAGTAGAGGAAGCAAACTTAAACCCAGATGTGCATGCAATTAGTTTTGATCTACAGCAAACCCTTCCCACACCAAAGCTTACCACTGGTCCCATGTTCTATAAGAGAAAATTATGGTGCTATAATTTAAGCATACATTCCCTTGGAGATGGTCAGGGTCACTTTTTTATGTGGGATGAATCCACTGCTAAAAGAGGGTCGGACGAAATAGCTAGCTGTCTCAAAATGTACTTTGAGAAAAATAATATTCATGGCAGAAAACTAATAGCTATTTCAGACAATTGCTGCGGACAAAATAAAAACTGGACCATCATTGGTCTTTGGCTATATCTTTTACAAAATGACTATTTTAAAGAAATAGTTCATATATTTCCTCAGGTAGGACATACAATGTTGCCAAGCGACAGAGACTTTTCTGTTGTAGAAAATTATGTCAAGAAAAACTGTGAAATGGTATATTCGCCCAATCACTGGGAAGATATTTTGAAGAAGTGTCAGAAAAAGAAACCTTTTCTAGTAACTAGGGTCCAGCAAGAGGATATATACGATTGTTCAGTACTGAAAAGCTATTTTAATCAACCGGTAGGTATTTTACAAAGTAGTGTGAAATTATGTCTATCTTCAGAAGTTCCCAGAAATATACAATATTCAGCATCATACAACGGATTATTTAATTCCATGTCCTTGAATAAAAGAGGAAGACCAACAGCTACAGAAGAAAAATTTCCTACACTTACTCAAAAATATAATCATCCCCTTAGTATTCATTCAGAAAAACTGAAAGATGTAAAATCATTCTTGGAATGGATTCCAGCTGTTTATCACGAATGGTATATAAATTTAAAATAACCTCCTAGTACCTACCAAATTATGTTATGTTAAGTCAACACCACTTAACATGTTACGTTAAATTTTTCAAATATTTTAGGTAAATAATGTTAAGTTGTAGTACATATTTTCATATTTTCCTCAATAAACATTGTAAAAAAAATATTTGGTATTTCATATTTTGCCTCCTGATTAACAACATAATCAGCTAATTTTAGCATTATTCATAGTTTTATATTTTTTAATAAAAAATATAACAATATTTTTTTTTAAATTCAACACTTCAAAACTCAAATCTTCTTTATTGTCCCTTACCATTTTTTACTGCCGGACCCCTCAAATGATGGAATGTGACATTAGTATTGGATAAAGAATAATAGAGGGGTAAAGGGGAAGGCTATGTCCAAAAATATTTAGAGCTGCGATAAATAAATAATTTATCCAATTGATGTTCCGATTCTGGATACATATTTTCTAGTGTTAATTAAGTATATTATTATTGTTTATAATAATAACACAAAACAAATTGAATTAACGAAAACCGTGTGAAAAATCTAATAGTTGCAGACCTTTAAGCGAACCCAGTTTGATTTTTTAAACATTGAATAAGCTATAAAAAATAAACATATAATACAATATTATTGTTTCAATTTAAATAATATCTTGTCTTTCGATTTTAAAAGTCCAAACAACGAAATTCTTAACAATTGTATTAAAAAATCGTTTATAGAACATTTTAACTATTATAATGAACGTTTAGCACCATTAACAAAACAACTTCATCGAAGTGGTTGCATTTGTTCCGCTTCAGTCTTCGAAGGCTTGCCCAGTGACCTTTCTTGAGAACGTTTCTCGCCACATAGACTCGAAAAGGTAGTATCTCCAACTCCGAATTCTTCTCCCTCCTGTATTGTTTGTGGCATAGGCTTATTTAACGTTTCTGGAAGGAACATCACCAAAAATCCTGATATTAACGACACCACAGAAAAGATCATAGCAGGTATTTTGGGATCGAAAGAATCCAACAAACTGAGTAGTGGAATTGCAGCACCTGCGCCTCTGGCGCACATAGCACCTAAGCCCATAACAAAGCTCCTTACCATAGTCGGGAACAGTTCAGCTGAGAAATTGTAGATTATGGCGAACGAACTTGCAATTAAGAACTTTCCAGTAAACGTAAAGGTCATGGATACGGCTCCAGCTGTTACGTTAGCTGCTATTATACAGCAAATTGCTCCTAAGATCATTTCTACCGCAGTCAAAGTTCTTCTTCCTAACCTAAAATTACAAATGATTAGTAGTTTAAAATAATTGTTGTACTTAAATACTGTAGAAACTTAAATTATTCTGTCTTGCGTCTTTGTTAATTTAGCCAAAAAAAATTTCCATTTAGCGATGGAAATTTAATACATAATTATGTTTTGTCTCCAGAACTTTAGTTGGGATATATCTAGAGATCTGTGGCTATTGGAAACTTTTGTATTCAAAATACAACTCCGGTTAAATTAGTGTCTGTTAGATTTGGTAGCTTAACAGAACTCTTGCTGGACTTAAGCCAGGATCAAAGGGAGTCCACTGCCTGGTTACCACTCTATTGATAGACTAAAAGCACATACAGATCGCCGCAAAAATGGGATTATTCCGCAGAAGAAGAAAATTTAAAGACGACGACCAACTCGAGAAAGAGGACGACGAATTCATGGAGAGCGAAAGATCAATAAAAAACTAAAGAGCTGATAGAAAAAATCAATCCAAAAAACCAATCCTACTATTCAAAAGAGACGATGAAAACGGCCATAAAACTACAGAGGTATCAACTTGTTAAATACGAACCTCAAACTTCCAATGGAAGTTGGGCAAAAACGAATAAACCAGTTATTTACTCGCTAAACCTAAGCTTAGGAGATGAATAACAAGGTTTTCGTACTAGAACATCATATACAGTGACATGATCATTCATCAATTCATTCGTTATAGTCTGATTCACTTAAAGAAAGCATTCGACTAAGTGAGATTCATTCAAAGGTTTAGTTCATCTATTATATAATAGAGCAATTCCTTTGGATATCATAAAAACTATTGAAAACATCTACTAAAATTTAAGAAACTATAAAGCCAGTAAAAGATTAATAATTACGTATGTATCGAACACAAGACTCGAAAAAACCACAACCCAAAGGCTATTGGATACGGTGGAGATGAGAAGAATTACAGAAAATATGGTCTGAGATACCGGAGAAGTGAAGACATCAGAAGAAAATGTAACGCACATTGTATGAACGAGAGAATAACAAGCAGAAAAAGAATATTTACAAGGTAGAATGGGAGAGACCAGATTGGTTAAAATAGCAACAGATAAATAAACAAATGACAGAAGGTACAGTCCGATCACGCAAAACATCGAATGATAACGTTCTATTGAAGTTTCAATTTGCTAATGAATAAACAATTTATTTAAAATAGTCAATTTATAGTCAAAATGAAAACATTGTTACAAAACAAATGTATTTCAATGACCATTTTTGGAAAAAACTCAAAAAACACATATTGAACACCCTCAGTAATTCAAACATACATATACATGAGATACATCTACTTCTTCTCTCAGAACAAAAATCAAACTAAAACTAAGCTTTGAAAGTTTTTCTAGATCTAAAAGTATTTCTTACCTATCCATCAAATAAACAGTCAGTATATAACTCGGTATTTCAACAAGTCCCATAATGAACATATTAATGTAAGGATTCCCTTCCATAGAGTTGGTAGTTAGAGACAATCCATAGTAGACTAAACTATTAGCGAACCAACATAGTAGAACATTAAATGTCTTTTTTCTTAGATTCGGTGTTCTGAATAGATCTCCGATACTTCCGGATTCGTCGCTGGTTCTTACTTCACTCATTCCCTTGCTAACGAATTCCGCTGTATCTAAACTGATTGGTGAACCGTTCATTTTTAGTGCTTTCTTCACGATTTCGACAGATTCCCTAATTCTTCCGTTGCTCCATAACCACCTGTAAAAGAATTTTGATTTGTGCGTATATTATTTTAAGTATAAAACCTCAAATGATGTACATATACAATTATTTATAACAAAAGTAATAATATTGTTTTATGGAATGTAAGAGAACGTACCAATTGGAATGTGATTTTATTGAAGAACTATATAGACTAACCAAATATTACGAATATTTACCACAGAGCCAGACATTTTGAACACGCTTCTAATGCCCAAGAACTGAATAAAAGTAGCTATAACATTGATCAGAAATGGGAAAGTATAAAAGTAGCAATAATTAAAACAGCAAATGAAAACTTAAAACCAAAGAATAGAAAACATAAAGATTGGATGACTGAAGAAATACTACTATTAATGAATGAAAGAAAATCATTCAAAACAAAAAATCCAATTAAATATAATGAAACTGATCGATTAATAAAAAAGAGAATAAAAGAAGCTAATGAGAGAATGTTACATGAGCAGTGCCAAGAACTAGAAGAAATTGAGAAAAAATATGACTTTTTTAACATGCATAAAAGAACTAGAGAATTAACAGGAATGAGAAAAACACTTCAAACTAGGCAACCAAGAGATGAAAGGGGTGCACTTGTAACAGATATAAACCAAAAAATGCAGAGATGGACACAATATATAGCACAACTTTTTGAAGACAAAGAGAGAACAGAAGCACCAAAAGAATTTAAGGATGATACTGGGCCTGACATTATACGAGAAGAAATTGCATATGCAATGAAACAAGCTAAAGGTGGTAAATCTCCCGGGCCTGATGAAGTTCCTATCGAATTACTTAAAATTGTGAATACTGAATCTATTGATCTTCTTTTGGATCTATTCAATACCATATATAGAACAGGTATAATACCTAAAGAATGGTTCCAATCAACATTCATACTGCTTCCCAAAAAAGCCAATGCAAAGGAGTGCAATGAACATCGCACCATACCTTAATGAGTCATGTCTTGAAATTGTTTTTAAAAGTAATTCACAATAAAATACATAAGAAATTAGATGAAGGTATAAGTAATACACAAATGGGATTTAGGAAAGGACTGGGAACACGAGATGCACTGTTTGCAGGAAGTGTTCTTTCACAGAGATGCTTAGATATTAATCAGGAAGTATATGCCTGTTTCATTGATTTTGAGAAGGCATTTGACAGAGTGCAGCATAATCGACTTAAAGAAATTTTATTAAATAAAAACATAGACAGTAGAGACATTAGAATCATCTGTAACCTCTATTGGAATCAAACAGCAAAAGTGAAAGTTGAAAACGAACTGACCAAGGATATCCAGATTCGCCGTGGGGTCCGCCAAGGGCGTATTTTATCACCCTTGTTATTCAATTTATACAGTGAAGCCATCTCAGAATTAGCGCTTGCCGAGAGCAGTGAGGGCCTTATAATAAACGGTAAGCCACTTAATAACATAAGATATGCTGTCGACACCGTCCTTCTGACAAGAACACTAGAAGAACTGCAACACCTTGCTGAACAACTAAATATATATTGTAACGATTATGGACTAAAAATCAATTTGAAGAAAACCAAGTTCATGGTATTTACAAAAGCACAAAACATCAAAGTTAAGCTAGTACTAGATAATACAGAAATTGAACAAATATCTTCGTACAAATACCTTGGAGCATGGATCACAGAAGATACTGATCAGACAAAAGAAATAAGATGCCGCATTGAAATTGCGCGGTCAACTTTTAATAGAATGAGAAAACTTTTTTGTAATCGCGATATCAATATATCGCTCCGGATAAGAATGCTTCGATGTTATATTTTCTCTACCCTTTTGTATGGAGTTGAAGCTTGGACACTTAAAAAATCCAACATTAAAAACGTATAAGCATTCGAAATGTGGTGTTACCGACGTATTTTGAAAATATCATGGATGGATCGCAAAACAAACGAACAAGTTCTCGAACAACTAGGAAAACAATGCGAAGTTTTAAATTCCATAAAAATCAGGAAATTGGAATACTTGGGGCACATCATGAGAGGTGAAAGTACGAACTACTAAGGAATATAATGCAGGGTAAAATCAAAGGTAGAAGAACCGTAGGAAGACGTAAAATCTCGTGGCTACGCAATCTCCGTGAATGGTTTGGATGCAGTTCAATTGAACTATTCAGGCGAGTAACCAATAAAATTATAATTGCCAGAATGATTTCCAATCTCCGATAGGAGTGGAACATGAGGAAGAATGAGAGTACCGGTGTATCTTAAAGCAGCTAGTTGCTAGTTTTTGTTCGATATTTTTGAAAAGAGAACAAGATAAGAGAAACTGTTGGCAAAAATGTCACAAGAGTTGGAAACAACGTCAAAAGGAAAAGACGTCATGAAAATCTTTTGTGATTTACTACTTTGAGAAACATGACTTGTAGTGGAAGTAGCTAGTTCGGGCCTCAATATGCCATAAAGATGATAAACTGTACAACACACAAGCATTTTCAAAAAGTTATGCGCAGAATTAGACTCCGAGCACGAGACATTACTTTATCATACTGAGACGTGTTGACTGTCAGACGGTAATATGTTGGCACGTTAGAGGAGTAAAAAGCGTTTTTTATTGGTACTAAAATGCAACATTTCTTATAACAACTAAGTAAACCAAGCTTTGAGATTTAACTTGCATTAAACCAATTAAATTTACAACCTTAAGATCAAGTGCCTGGAAACGAAAATTTGGAAGGTATTGTTAACATATTTACATTTACAGTTTCGCATCCGAATATTAACCAAATAAAGGAAATTTAGTTTTTAGGTGAAAGATTATTTCGTATGATTGATCTTAATAAACTATTGCTAAAAAAATTGTACGTTACTATCCGTTTATATAAAATAAGGTAGGGGAAGATGTCCCAAAATGACATACTTTTTATTTGAGACATTTTTTTGCAGATACCATTCAAAATATTGAACTGAAAAAAATGTAACACGTTCCTTTAAATACGTTTTATTCATATGCATAAATGAAAACATCTCATCTCTACAAAAAACTTGTGAAAAAGTATTTTTTTAAAAACCTTACACTATATCATTTTACAAAGATCTATCATGTAAAATGACACAATCATAGGGATGTTAAATGACGTATAAGCTCAGAACATGATAACGACATGAAATCATAACAATATAGGTAGTTAAATCAACAAAACAAGAAATCAGTCTTGGCAAAGCTCACAAATAAACTTTTTTCTTTTGCAGGCACCTCTGTCAATTTACAATGTGTCTAATATTCTATTTGTGGTCTCAGCTGGTTCAAAATACTTGTCTGGGAAAATTCTTGGATCGAGTGGGTAAATGCCCGTTTTTAAAAAGCCGCGTGCAGCATTTTTTATTGTTGCTGCTTTTCCGTAAGCAGAATTGAAAAGTTCGCCGATTTGATTCTGTGTAATTATCCATCCTGGATGGGTTTTTAACCATAATGCACATTCCATAACTGGATGCAAGCGGCACAAGAGAGAGAGAGAGAGATAGAGAGAGAGAGAGAGAGAGAGAGAGAGAGAGAGAGAGAGATGGAAAGAGCTTAGGGAGACCTATGTCCAGCAATGGACGCATACAGGTTGATGATGATGACAGTCCTGGTTATACAATGTTAGAGGATCAAAGAACGAAACATCAAGCAGCTGGATACGATGTGTGCAGTGAGCAGGGAAGCATACAATAATTATTTCATTTTTTTGCAAAGGTCAATGCTTTCAGTAATTTATAGCTAGTGTGTCCATCCAGAAGCAATAAAACTTTTGATTCGAGAGATGGCTTAACCAAATTCTGGAAATGCTCCAACCACAAAATAAAAGTATTAGCTGTCATCCATCCAGTTTGGTGAACTAATCCCAAGAACCCAGTAGATAAAGCATCTAGAAGTTCCTATTTTCTTTTTTTGCCAGGGAAAATCAATGCTGGCGGTATGAAATTACCTATACTATCCATGTAATAAACACATGTTACATGCTGACCTTTTCGACGCTGGTCAACGATCCAACTTGCTTTCTTCCAGTTTCTTGCAAACATTTTTTAATGCCTCTGTAAGTCTGTACTGTGAACAGTCCACTTTCCTCCATATTATAAATGTGAATATCTTCAATTTTCTCTTAGTCCGGAGTAATTTCCAACGTATTTAAAAAATTGTATTTGAGGCTTATTAAATGCCACAGCTCTAACTGTAGACACAGCTTCAGATTGTCTCAAGGATATTTCAGGATGTCGCATACGAAATCCTCTCAGCCACTCTCGTCCAATACTGCGCTCTTTAAATCCATTTGAAATGCCATTTTTAGTGGCAAATTCAAATGCAAGTTTTTTATGTCTGTAGTAATCCCAAACAATCTAAACTCTAATAACAGTATGCGCTCAACAAATTCTTTTTCTTCGTCGTCATTAAACGTGGTTGAAAAACGTTCCAAAATTTTTGAGCACCCTTTGGCTCTTTTGTATACGTCATTTTCTCTTCGTCTTAACGTTGCTTGCGGGACATTGAAGAGTTTGCTTGCTTTTAACCATCCCATTCAACCACTTTTTACAGCCTCAATAATATTCTGCATTACTGCTTTATCCCATGATTGTCTGAATGATGTTCTCTCCGTTTATCCACCATAATGTCACAAAAAGGAAACAAAACTAATAGTTTTTAAATAAAAATTAATTTTAGGTTTGTCCGTAAGATGACATAGTATATCATTTTACCTTCATGAATAGCTATGTCGTTTTATCAGCAACAACACGTGGTTCTTTATTCTTACTGAATTATTTTGTCTGACATTCAACGACAGTTCTGAGTATGTGCATGTGCATTTGTTATGTATTTACTTACACGTATTTTCTAGCGTTGGTTTCACTTAAAACAAATCGTATTTTCTAGTAAAAATTAATTTGCAGCAGAACACAATAAAACTTTTTAACCAGTAAAAATAATTCGTTGAGGTTAACTGTGATGTGTCATAGGTTACAAATCAAATGGCGTGCCAATATGTAATTCGGTTGCTCTTTGCCACATAAAACCGTACGTTCACTAGATGATGCCAGTAGTTTTTAAATAAGTAACGGCATCTTATTTTACGTCATTTTAGGACACCTTCTCATATTAATAAGTACATCATAAACAAAGTTTTATATACATGCATTTGCCAAGAATGTTCTGACATTATACTCACCTTGGTGATTCATCCATAAGCCAGATATGTCCAACTAAAAGTAAAGCGTGGCAACCATAAATTATTTGTAGAATTTGTCTATCTTTTATTATAGCTCCCCATCCGGCAACTAACATAATTCCGACTGCAAAAACTGCTTGAAATGCAACTCCACACATTGATCGTTTGCTTGGACCAACTAATTCCATTGTAAGTACAAAGCCTAAGGTAAAGAAGTAAGTATTAAAATTCTAGAAAATTGGAACACATATACAAAAATCAAGAGAAATTTATACCAGTTTGTAAAAAATAATCTGTTTGAAACTATTTTTATCTTCCAGAAATATATTACTGTAATTTGCTTAGTACAAAGCGACTGATATAAACTAGTTTCTTGAAAACTCAGCTTAATAAGTCTTAATAAAAACGAAACACGTCGTAGTATGAAAGAAGGACAATTTTTTAGAATAAATGAAGAAAAAATAATGTTTTTAGGTGTATAATACGACGCCTTTTTCAAAATAAGCTGTTTTAAGCCCTTTTCTCCATTCGGATTACCGAATATAGGTCTCTCCTAATTCTCGCCATTCATCTCTGTTGTTTGTAAGATGTTTTCACATTGGCCCTGAAGTTCTTTTAATATCGTCGCTCCAGTGCATTTGTGGTCTTCCTCGTGGTCTTTTGGCTTCATATGGCCGCCAATTACCGATTTCTTTATTCCATCGGCCATCCTTAAGACGTTCGTTATGTCCAGCCCATTTCCATTTCAGTTTTATGGTCTTTGGGTGAGATACCCAGCATCTGTCGTTCCACAGATCCTTGAGATTTTTTGATTTTCTCCATGTTTGAATGTCCAAGTTTGAGCTCCTTATGTAAGTACAAGTAGGATACATGAATTAACTTTGGTTCGCAGTCTTTGAGGTATATTTTTATTTTTAAGTACGTATGAGAGTCTTCCGAATGCTGCCCATCCCATTTTTACACGTCTGCTTATTTCGGTAGTCTGATTTTCTTTGCTTACCTTGACATTTTGACCCAGATATGTATATTCATCTATGTGTTCTATCTCTGTCCCTTCGATGTTTATCATAGGTTTGTCACCTTTATTTGACATTAATTTAGTTTTGCTGAGATTCATTTTCAGTTCTTTTTTAGGGATTCTGTGTGTAGCTCCTCGATCATCATATTCAGTGCATTCAGTATCTAAGATGGTTCAAGTATCTTCCGTTAATAGAGATTCCCTTATTTTCCCAGTCTATTGACTTAAAGATATCTTCTATGACAGCTATAAATAATTTTGGAGATATTGTGTCTCCTTGTCTTACTTCTCGGATGATTTTTAGTGATCTTGTTTGGATTAAAATACCCAACATCACTATCATTTCAGCTTGTTCGTAAATATTATGTATTAATGTTTTGTACCTGGAGTCGATCCGGTTGTTGACTAATGCTTCTTCTATTATCCAAAAGTCTACGCTATCAAAAGCTTTTTCATAATCTATAAAAGCCAGACATAATGTGAGATTGTATTTGTTTGTCTTTTCAATTAGAATTTTTAAAGTATATAGATGGTTACAGGTGCTGTACTCTTTTCTAAATCCAGCTTCTTATACTGGTTGATATCCGTAAAATTTAATTGTTAACCTGTTTGTAATAATATTTGTAAATGTTTTGTAAAGTTGTGAAAGAAGGGAAATTGGTCGATAATTTTTCAGGTCTGTGGTGTCTCCCTTTTTGTGTATTAGTATTGTTTTAGCAGTATTCCATTGTTCGGGTATGTTGCCTTGGAATAGACATTTATTAAACAGTTTTTTACTATTATTTCAAAATAATTTTAGATTACTGATTTTACTTATATAGTAGGCTGATGTAGAGGTAATAGATTTTAACAAGAGCCATGAGTCATGCCGATTCAGTACACAAGTTTACCTGTTATTTTCAAGGTTCAAGTTCAAGTTTCATAGCTCTTGTCAAAATCCATTACTTTTACTCAATTGGTTTGAAATATGTTGACGTTTATTTTGCCGTTTATTCAACGTTTAGTGTCATTTGTACATTTTATCATAAAAAGCCTTCTTCACGTAAAGGAAAAACAGAGTAGTTCGATCATTTTTTGTTTAATATATTAAGTTTAATTAAATATTGTTTTGATTCGGCTAAGTTTAAAACAAATATGCCACCAATTCTACACTGCGATGAAGCCCAAGCAGCATAGATTGTAATTTTATACGAGGAAGAATAAACACAAACAAATATCGTACGATGTCTCAAAAGAAGTCAAGCTACAGTTTCGGATATTTTAGAAAGGTACCATGAAACAGGAAATTTTGTACGAAGACCTGGTCACTGACGCCCTAGGTGCACAACCGCAATTGATGACCACTTTTTGGTTCTTAATTCTACAAGAAATCGATCATTGACATCGATGCACCTCACAAATGAGCTACTAAATGTCAGACAAATAAATGTAAGTTCAAAAACAGTTAGACGAAGGTTAAATAAAGTAAACTTGAAGCCTAGACGCCCTGCAAAACTTCTACGTCTTCTCCAAGATCATAAAGCTTATCGTTTAGAATTTGCAAGAAGACATATTCTTCTTAAACCACGTCTACAGAAGAGTTGGAGAACGATTCGCCACCAGAAATCCTGCCCAGACTGTTTGTTTTGGAGGTAGTGGCATAATGCTTTGCGGAGGTATTAGTTGAAAGGGACGCACCGCACTTGTGAAAGTGATTGGACGGATGACTGATGACGCTTACGTTCAAAATATTCTGCAAAGACTATGTTGGTTACATTGGATATGACTGATTCATGATAATGCACGACAATGCTGGACCACATGTCGCTGCCATAGTAAGTAATTATCTTGATGAGATCCAAATTCGAAGATTAGATTGGCTACGATGTAGTCCGGATTTAAATCCAATAAAGCACATGTGGGATCAGCTAAAACGCCGCATATGACAAAGAAATCCCGTTCCAAATACGATAGAAAAGCTTCGGCTTGCTGCACAGGATGAATGGAATACAATTTCCCAAGGGTATGTGCAAAATTTACTTGCAAGCATGTTGTGAAGGATGCAAGCAATAATAAGAACTAGAGGGGAGAATATTAAGCATTAAGCATTTTTTTCGCAATTTTCTCCGCATAAAAACTTAATTGCTCATTAAATATTATTAAAATAAACTCGTTTTCATAATAAACAACTTGATTGACCAGAATTTATTTTCAAAAAAGAAAAATTAGAAAATTTAAAAATATTCGATATTTTTGTCCATGAGTGTATTTTGAGACACAGAATTTGCGACAAAAACATTCAAAGAAAATCAAATATAGAAAAAAAAACGTACTAAAATTAAACTTTCCAAGATATTGAAAATATAAATCGTCCGTACACTGGACCTTCTTCATAATTATTCCTCTGTATAGGAAGGGTGCAAGGATTCAATATGTTAGACTAACCATTCGACAAATAGCTCTCTAACAAGTCGGATATGTTAACAGGAATCAATTATAAATCTAGGTCCACTAATAAAAACGACAAATAATATACTGATTATCCACGTATCTCTCTTTCGTAAATTACGTCGAAACATTTGATAATCTCCAATAGCATATATCTGACCACTTATGAGCAACAAGTGAAGTACCTGGCTAAACTGATTCAAAGTTGGTATATGAACAATAAAGTAACCGCGATATTACAAAATATTTCTGTGGAAAGATGGCAAAAGCATATATGTCAAAATTTTTGCATTTTGAGATTTTTATACCTACATGTTCGTAGTGATGAGATCTAGAAGATGGCAAAATAAGGTATTCTGCAGATGTTTAGGTATTGTGTTAATAATGGTGTCAAAAGCAAATAAATTCAAAACAGTGACATCTTAAGATGGCAATACCATATAATATTTTATATTATTCTTATCTCCGTATAACACCTTTAGAGTAAGGTACTTAAGGAGGTGGCAATATACTACATGCAGATATATTATAAAGTAACACCACTATTTACGTTGATATGCGTTTAATTGAAAGTTGGCAAAACTACATATAAATGCATATATTGTATATACTCATTTTCATAAACCAAACATTATTATTTGTTAAAGATGGCAATTGCATATATGCAAACATATTTCATTTTGCCTTCCTCTTTATATGTGGAACGCGCGATGAGTTTCAACGCAACGTATTGATTTATTTGATTTTGCCATCTATTATACCAAATTGTTTTCAGTTGTCGCGTGGTCATAGTTGGCGAGTTTCGACAAGTCTAAACTGTGCATTTGTTAGTAACTGTTATTTTCGTTCGATTTATGAATAAGATACCTATATTAGGTGGTTGTTTATAGTGGATTTTAAGGTAGAATATTAGCTTAAATTATTTAATTAAACATGTTGTGCAAAACGTGCGGTCAGAACTTTATTTCTCGATACTTGTTGCTTATACATTGCTGCAAAATTTCGGTTAAAAAAAATCTATTTAATATAGATGATTCTACGGCCATTTCGTCAGGATCAAAGGCAAATGTACGTGAGCAAAAAATACTCATGTCTGATCATTCGGATAAATCACAGTTCTTAGAGATAAACAAAGTCTGCGAAGAAAAATCTGAGATGTATAGACCTAAAGAAATAACAGAAGTTTTTAAGCCAACCTTGTGCGAATTAGCAAACGTTGATATTATTGGCCATGGTTTAAATAGGGTAAGTTTTATTTTATGCAAACTTTAGTCTACGATCTTTTGCTATTTTTTTATTTTTTAATTCTTTACACAATGTTTATATGGGCGTCCCATTGTTTTTGAAAAAAAAGTACAGGCATTAAAACATAAAATTTAAAGGTTCTACTACAACATATCTAAAAGTTCTGTAAAAATACTGCAAATAGTACAAGACGGCAAACTACATAGTTACCGTGTTTCTAAATTAAGATGTATCTTTTAAGGAAGATGTTACGTCCATCGAAAATTACAAGAATAATCCTTCTAACCTAGAAACAGCGTTTTCTAGTTTCAATTCAACACAAAACGATGTTACAGCCATTTTTGAAACAAATAAAGAGAATGTAGCACCTTTTACTAAACCTGGATTAGATGTGGATCTTTTTGGTTACGTAAGTTTAAGATACTTTTTTTTGTATGTATGCGTCAAAAAAAAATCTTAAAAATAATTTTTTAATAAAAACATGCCTTCGCTTTCTAAAATTTTCCAGAAACTTGAAAAAATTGTTTTGACAGTCTTAAATTTATAGGAAGATGATAACAATTCCAATAGAAGTTTTGACTTAAACCAAGATAATTCGGATGAAGATCCTAACTGGTATCCAGAAGAGGATGGCGCTAACCGACTAGCGAGAATAATTAAAACTGCTGGTTCAGGAAATTTTGACGGTTTGTTTATTTTATCCTAAAAATAAGAGTGATCATAATTTTTAATTTGTATTTTATAATTTTAGATTGCTTGCCAAACGACGTAGAAGATGGTATCCATGATATCGAATGTGAGGAATCAGATTGTTCTGAAAAACAAGTTGGTAGTAATACTCATGAAACAAAACCGACCAGTAAAAAAAGAAAACGAGGTATCAGAAAACGTGCAGAGGAAACCAAGAAAAAAAATTTAGGCCTGGCCTACAGAAACAGGAAAGGAGTTTTATGCCCAGCTAAAGTATTTAGACCAATAACAAAATGTTGTACAAAAAATTGTCATCAAAATTGCACCCCTGAACAACAAAATATAATTTGGTCTAGTTTTAATAACAAAGCTCCAGATATGCGTAAACAAGTACTATGTGAAAGAATGACTCTTTCTAAATGCAAATACCAAATAATGAAAGGCAGAGGTATGAAAGGGGGGAAGCCACATAATCGGGTCGTAACTGTTAGTTACTCAGTGCATATAGAACCTCAGAAAATTGTAACTGTGTGCAAAAATTTTTTTATCAATGTCCATGGAGTAACAGTAAACCAGCTAAATCTGCTCGTTAAAAAACTAAAATCGTCAGAGGATGGATTTATAAAAACGGATATGAGAGGACAGCATATACCATGTTGGTCGAAGAACGCAGTGAAATTAAGAAATTTATAGATCAATATCCAAGACATGAAAGTCATTATGCAAGGCGAGATAATCCTAATCAAATATTTCTACCGAGCCACCTAACCATTCGTCAAATGCATAAAGAATATCAAGAAGATATATTAAAAAAAGGGTTAAAGAAATCTGCTAGTTATGATGTTTTTCGTGACGTATTCAATAGTACCGGGTATAAATTTAAACAGCCCTACATCGATACATGTCGCAAATGTGACGAATATCAAACACTAAAAAAGAATGCTAGTACTGAGGCAGCTAGAGCAAAAATTAATGAACAACGGGACGACCACATTAACGACGCTAATAAAGCCTTTGAAAGCAAACGAAAAGACAAAGAGATAGCTAAAAATGATGAAACAAAAAGAGTACTGGTTTTTGATTTACAACAAGTCTTACCAGCTCCCTATTTATCAACTAACATAGTCTACTATAAGCGTTTATTATCTGTGTATAATCTTACTATACGTGATTGTTCTTCCACTGAATCGTCTGTTTGCTTTATGTGGTATGAAGTCATTGGAGGCAGAGGTTCTGATCAAATTGCCTCATGCCTCTACAGTAAAATAATGAGTTTATCAGAGATCGTTCAGCAAGTAACAACATATTCGGACACGTGCGGAGGACAAAACCGCAACATTAATATGGCTGTTATGTTTTTGTATGCCATTCAGAAGAAACCAACTCTCGAAATAATTGATCAGAAATTTCTTTTGCCAGGTCATACACGCCTTGAGTGTGATAGTGACCACGCACGAATTGAAAGATGTAAAAAGCAAATTTCAAATGATTTTAAAATAATGGTACCACGGGACTGGTTTCAGTTTGTACGATCACTTAGGGGCAAATCCAAATTTACAGTGGTTGATATTAGACAAGAAGATTTTCTGGCGTTTTCCAAGCTCTTACGTGACATTCTAGTCAAACGCACAAGCGACACTGAAGGTGAAAAGATATCTTGGCTTAATATTAAATGGCTAAGATATACCAAGGAGTTTGGGTTAATTCAGTTTAAATATACCCTTGACGATGAAGCGCCATTTAAAACTCTAGATATAAGAAGGGGAAAAAGAAGAGGTCGACCATCACTGGCTACCATAACTGTCCCTCGCTCATACAATAGCCCCTTGGGTATTAATCCAAAGAAAAAGAAGGACCTTTTATCGATGTTAGACCTGATAGACAAAGACTGCCATGCCTTTTATGAAAATTTGCCAACCACATCCAACGCAAAAGAATATGACGAATTGTGCGATGATGCCTTGGATTCGGATTTAGAAGACTAATTGGTTATACAAATCCAATTTGTAATATTTCAAGCATTAAAATAAAATATAAATGTCTTGATTTTCATTTCCCTTTCAAAATAATATATACATAAAACTATTAATTTCTAAGATGGCAAAAGCACATATATCTAAAATATCTAAGATATTCCAAAAACTAGCAAATAATCTCTCTTCATGTTTCACACATTAGAAGTACATTCAGTTCTTTGTACTATTGCACAAAAAACATAACAATACCTTTTATCACCGAATTAATATTACGTTTGAAACCTTAAAAGTGCTCTCCTGAAAACTATCAAAAATTGACATATATGGTTTCGCCATCTTTCCACAGATTTACTCCTCGCGATGTTCGCGACGTAAAATAAAAAAAAACAGCTAAAAAATAAGGCTACACATATTCCACACGGCTAGTTAACTTATTAAGCGAATATGTAATGGAAATTTAGATAAGTTTTAAAAAGACAATTTATAGATGGAATTACGATGCCTAATCGGTGCTTTAACACATTGTTTATCGACCAAATTGAAGGAGCACTTCAATCTATCAAAGCTAATATAATAAGCTAATCAAAGTCAGTGAAAAATATTGATTATTAATTACCATTCTCAAGACAAAAGTATTGATTACCAACAACCAGTGGCGCACCTAGAATTTTCCTCTGGGAGGGGTTTTGGTTGGGCACCGATTTTTTTTATGCTACATCCACCATTTTAAGTCCTTAAAATTTGTGAGTAACAGTCTCGGAATAGTACCCTGGGGGGTGGGTTTAACCCCAAAACTCCCCCATGGGTGCGCCACTGCCAACAACAGCCATAATGAGCACTCAAAATGTAATAGATAATTTTATATATCTCGATGATGCCATAAGTAACAAATGGAGCTGTAAAATCAACAGCGTATTCTAATGGGCAGAATTGTTTGATCCGATCTGGAAAAGCACAAATATACAATAAAATACTGAGATTAATTTAGTAGAAATACCAATATTTACATATGCCAATAGAACACTGAAAACTTTTGTTTTCAACAATTTCACAAAATTCATCAAAATGACATCATTCTGTCTCCGGCTTCTATATAAAATGTAGCTTCTCCAATTTTTAAATTTTAAAGTGTTTGTTTGTCTTTGTTTAGTGTATTTGTTATGTCCCAATTTACATTTATGACATTCTGTTACTGCTGGATAGGCCACAACTGACGAAATGCCCCTGAGGATGATCTTGTGATCGAAAGTACTTGGGCAAGATTTGATTAACTACTGTGTTCGATATTTGCCTTGTGTACCATCAAAGTGTTCTTTTAAAAAGACTTGCACTACATATGACGAAAAACATAAGCTACTAATAATTACTTACCTGGTATATAAGCGCCAGCCGATCCAAATATACCATATAAATATCTAATGACTAAAAAGGAAATGTATTCAGGGCTGAAGGCTACACTAACACCCAATATTAATTGCAATATAGCAGACCAACAGAAAATTGGCTTTCTACCGTATTTGTCTGCCATCTTTCCTAATACCACAGCACCTGTAAATACTCCTATCATGTAAGTAGATTGAGCTACCGCTCCCATCCACCTAAAAATAATATATAAGTTTTAGTGTGTTTAAATAAAAAATGACAATATCTAGGCAAAAATTGCACAAAAGTTTTTTTTACTCATGTGCACAAAAGTCATTATTTTATTTTCAATTCTTTTTTTTATTTTTATAACGATATAAATTAGAATAATAAATTCTATATCACAAATACTGCTGCAGTGTATGTGATGTGTACTGAAAAGTCAGTACATTAATGTCGGGGAATAAAAGGCATGTCCTAAAAATAACTATAAAGGTAGGGATAAAAACTTTATATTTTAATTTTGCAAAAATGCGAAACAACGAACCTGATTGTTTTTAGTTGATATTCCACACTAGGGCCCATTTATACAGCAGGGAAAAAATCAAAAAAATATTTTTTTTATCTCAAAAACAGCCAACAAATTTTATATACAGGGTGTTTTCAAAAAATATAAATTTTATTTAATTTTTATTGTAGTTGTTTGTATTATTGCAGAAAGTTTAAATATTGCATAATGGTTAGTTTTTTAAAATAAAAATACAAAGTGATTCATAATAATTCGTTTGAGTTCGGCGTAAATATATTGAAGAAATAGAGATTTTGCCACTTTAAACATTATACTGATGAACTGGAAAATATGTCACTATCACCAAGTGGTTCAAAATGTGATTCAATTATATTTTTCAGCTGCCACATTTTCTTTTCTACTTTTTCTTGAACATGTAAAATGCGGTTCGTTCATATTTCTGGTGTTATTGATGAAATTGAATTATAAAATAGATTTATGGTATCTGAAAATTCAAAGGTGGTGTTTATTTCTGCAGTATCATTTTTAATCTTTGTTCAGATGAGTCCAGAGGGTTTAACTCACAGCGAAACTAAGAAAGTCTCAATACCAGTTTATTCTGGGTGTTTTGTAAAAATTTTGATGTTTCTTACGATTTAAAGAAGCTGTACTTTAAGCATATGTTGATCAAATTTTATATTTTTGGAACAGAGCCAATTATAGATATCGCTTATTAACCTTTGTATTGTTTCTAGGTACGCCTGGAGCTATTAGTAAAATTCAAATGTGTATATATTTATTATATCGTAAATTTGAGACGTGATGTTTCATGATATCCTTAAGATAAGGTTTATATACAATTTAACGTATTTGCGATTTAAAATATCAGTTTGGTTTTCTTTGAAATAAACACATCTGTTGTTTATGGGTCCACCTGTACCCAGAAGTGTTTCCAAATGTACGTGATGTTTGTTTTATTTATTTTTCTGAGAAGGGTGATTTGATTTTATGGGTTCTATTTTCGGAAGCGTTTGTCGAGTATCTTTAGTGTTGTACCAGACTTGATCGCTTGAAGTTTAGAGTTGAGAGTGTGGTGTACAATCATTTGTGAAAAACCAAATAATAAGCGCTTGCTGAAAAATAAGCTCCAGGAGAGGACTCACGGAAGAGAAATTACGGAAAATCCTTGAAGAAGACTAAGAAAATGAAGATGAATCTACCAATTTAGAAACAGTCACTAGTGATGAAGAGTTAGTAGATGAAGAATTTTCTGAAGAAGATCATGTATCTACGGTTGATGATGACAAAGATGAAAGCAAAAATTTGGAAAATGAAATAGAAGTTCCTGAACAAGAAGATTTACAATATACTGCTCGCGATGGGATAGTTTGGAACAAATATCCACCACCTCAGTCACGTGTAAGGTAAGTGGTGACTCGAGTGCTACACATATTTTCTTACTAAATTTGTGGGTTTTACTAATTTCGTTGCGACATATGCCACTCAACAAATTATCGATGAACCTATATCTTCAATGAGATTGTTTTTCACTGATGAAATACTCAATTTACTTTTAGTAGACTAAACTAACAGAGAACGTGGTCGCATATGTAATGAAAAAATGTTAACTGTAAAAGAAATATCACTGGAAGAGTTAGAATCTTTTATAGGTAAATATGTACTTTCACTATAGTTATAAAATAAATTAACTTGAAATTTTGCATTTTTATTCAAGGTTTACTTCTTCTGATTGGTGTTCATAAAGGTGCCGAAGAATCTCTGCAGGAACTTTGGAGCAATTCTGATGGTAGGCCCATTTTTAGAACTACTATGTCTCTGAAACGATTTTGTAACATCAGCCGCTTTTTGCGATTTGATAATAAAGAGAATAGACCTACTCGGTAAACAACACAAAACATCACAGAAACGGCACTGCAATAGTAGTTGCCCCACATATTAATTCGGCAGTAAAATCTTTCACTCCCCATTCAGATAGAATGATGCTTTTACAAATTCGAGCGACACCGGTGGATATTAACATATTACAGGTATACGCGCCAACGGCAGATAAAGATGAGGCAACCAGCGAAGAATTCTAAGAACAACTGGGAAGCCTGATGAAAATGACAAAAAAACATGAAGTAACAATGGTGATGGGAGATTTCAATGCAAAGGTTGGCAGAGGCAAGGTGAATGAGATCGTGGGAAACTTCGGCCTAGGGGAGAGAAACGATAGAGGTGATAGACTTATATGCTTCTGCCAGGAATATAACCTGCTGTTAAGTAATACACTTTTCAAGCTCCCCAAACGTCGACTTTACACATGGAAATCCCCCGCTGACTTACTTGACAACATCATTAGAAATCAGATAGATTATATAGCAGTATCAACAAGATATAAAAACATGATAAAATCATCAAAAACGTACCCAGGTGCCGATGTTCCTACGGACCACAATTTGTTGGTATGCAGAATGGTCATGAGAGTAAAATGGCTCGAGAAAAGATCTAATTTAAACACAATCGATGTTAAAAAACTCACTAACCCAGAAACCGAAATAAAAGTACGAGAACAACTAGGAAAGAAAATAAAGGACATTAACGAGAACACGGCGGACATAATAGAGAGATGGGATAAATCGAGGGAAGCAATCCAAACAACATGCGCGACTCTATTAAAGCGTGACCGACGGAAAAATAAAGAATGGATGTCTGATGAGATAGTGGATAAAATGGATGAAAGACGTAAATTCAAGAATAAAAATGCAGAAAAATACCAGCAGATCCACAAAACCATAAGAACGAAAATTCGACAAGCCAAAGAAAAATGGTTTTCCAACGAATGCAGGGAAATAGAACAATACGAACGAAAATACGACAGTTACAATATGCGATACAATGCGATACAATATACGACAGTTACAAAAAAAAAAAAATCGTTGACAAACAATAGGAAATTCAATAAGTCACCCAACAGCATAAAAGATAGCGATGGAAATCTTATCTCGGAGCTATCAAAGATCTTAAAAACATGGAAATCATACATACAAAAATTATTTGCATCTGACAGGACTGATGATCACCTATATGGAGAAGGAGAAACAGGACCTTCAATCCTTAAATCAGAGATAGAAGATGCCACTGCAGCACTAAAAAACAATAAGTCAGCAGGTCCGGACAATGTACACTGCGAAATATTAAAGATCCTATGTAAATCAGACAAACAGTTCCTTGATAATCTAGTTGTACTTTTTAACAACATATATAATAGCGGTAAAATCCCGGAGAACTTACTGCAGTCAACATTTATTACAATCCCGAAGAAACCAAATGCCCAGATTTGTGATGACTACCGGCTTATAAGCTTGATCAATCATGTCACTAAAGCGTTCACTAAGATCATTCATAGAAGAATATATGATAAATGTGAGTCAAATATTGATAGATCGTAGTTTGGTTTTCGGAAAGTACTTGGAACTAGAGAAGCAATTTTCGCTCTCCAGGTGCTTATACAGCGGTGTAGAGACGTTGATAAGGACGTGTATTTGTGCTTTGTAGATTTTAGAAAAGCATTTGACAATGTCAATCATGAACAATTGATAGGTATTCTACGAAAGACAGGTATTGACGACAAGGACATTCGAATTGTGGCTAACCTATACTGGGGTCAAACAGCAAGAGCAAAAGTTGGCAACGAACTCACTGAAAGCGTGCAGATCAAAAAAGGTGTCCGTCAGGGGTGTATATTATCCCCACTCCTATTCAATATGTATTCCGAGGAAATATTTAACAAATGTATGGAAAATGCAAATGAGGGCATAAAAATAAATGGCGAGTTAACGAACAATATAAGATATGCCGACGACACGGTGATCCTTGCCAGTACTATAGACGAATTACAACAAGTAATGGAAAGACTTTATTCAGTTAGTGAGGAATACGGCCTGAGCCTCAACTTCAAGAAGACAAAGTGGATGCTGATAAGCAAAAAGCAACAACCTGCTCGACAATTACGGATACGTAACATACTAATTGACCATGTAGAATCTTATGTGTACCTTGGCACCAACGTAAATGCAAAATGGGAACAGACCATAGAAATTAAGGCGAGAATAGAACGAGCTAGAGCAGCATTTAGCAATATGAGAAAGCTCCTCATAAGCAAGGATTTGTCTCTTCCCCTAAAACTACGTATAGTTAAATGCTACATTTTTCCGATCTTGCTGTATAGCGTGGAGGCCTGGACGCTGACGGAGACGCTAACGAGAAAACTAGAAGCATTCGAAATGTGGGTGTACCGACGCATTCTTCATATATCCTGGACCGAACATGTCACCAACATAGAGGTACTCCAAAGAATCGGAAAGGAGAAAGAAATCGTGAATACAATTAAACAAAGAAAGCTTGAATATCTAGGCCACATATTGAGACACGATAAGTACCGTCTACTACAATTGATTGTCAAGGGAAACTAGACAGTAAGCGAGGGCCAGACAGGAGAAGACACTCGTGGCTCCAAAATCTGCGGAAGTGGTTCGGGCTCACATCGGTCGAACTATTCAGAGTTGCCGCAAACAAGATCAAAATTGCCATGTTAATAGCCAACGTTCGCAACGGACAGGGCACTTGAAGAAGAAGAAGACCTACTCGATGGAGGCACGACAAGCTAGCTCCAATTAGAAGTTTTTTTTATTTATTTGTAGCACAACTCCCCAAAATGTTTGTTCCATATGGAAGCCTCACTGTCGACAAACAACTTGTACCTTTTAGAGGTAAGTGTCCCTTCAGACAGTATATTCCAACAAAACCACGAATATGGAATAAAATTATGGCTTTTATCTGATGTCAAAGCAGTGTATGTTTATTGTTCAGAAGTGTATACAGGAAAAGCAGAAAATCAGCTCCGTGACGTACATCAGGGAAGAAATGTGGTTTTACGACTTATAAAAGATGTTCAGAATTCCGGGCGAAACATATCCACGGATAATTGTTTTACTGACTACCATTTAGCGACTGAATTATTAAAACGTAAACTAATACTAATTGGAACATTACAAACAAACATAACTTTTATTCCAGTTGAATTTCTACCAAATAAAAGTAAAGAACCCCTATCATCAATTTTTGGGTTTCAGAAGAATATGACTTTAGTTTCATATAGTCCTAAAAAGGGTAAATCTGTTATTCTTTTGTCCTCGATGCATTTAGATGACCAGGTGTCATTGCAAGAACATAAGAAACCAGACATTATATTAGAATACAATAGAACCAAAGAAGGTGTAGATACAATAGATAAATTAGCGTCAACTTATACCTGCAAAAGAGGATCTAGAAGGTGGCCACTATACATATTTTATAATATTTTAGATTTGGCGGTAATTAACGCACATGTGTTGTATACGCATGTAAATCCTAATAAGAACAAACTACATAAAAGAAAGCTTTTTATAAAAGAATTGGCATATAATTTAACAGAAAAATGCCGAACTACCTGAATGACAACAAACGTTCCACAAAAAATCCAAATAAATTTACATGCAGTAGCTGGAACAAATGGAAATGCAAATGAAAGTCCAAAACGTAGAAGGTGTAAAGACTGTGGATGGGAAAAAGACAAAAAATCTCGTACAAGATGTCAAGCATATAAGAGGTTTATTTGTCCTGATCATTCAAATATTTTTGCACAAGTTGCATTGAATAAATATATAATTTTAATTGAATATAAAGTTTTATTATAATTTTTATTACAAAAAAAAGTTTTTAGTTCATTCAAATATCTTTTGTAAAAGTTGCATTAAATAAATATATACTTTTAATTGCATATACAGTTTTATTATAGTTTTTATTACAAAAAAAATGTTTTTAGTTTTGATACATCGATAACATAAAACTACAAAAGCTTCTACGAATTAATAAAAAAAAATTGGAATTTAATTCACAACAGATATGAGTTTTATTCACTGGGTCCACCCGTACCCATAGACAAAGAATGTAATATTTATTTCGAGAGGGTAGGAAGGTTAAGATGTTTTTATTGCTATTTTCTCTATTTTACGAGAATTGTACGGAGCGTTGTCAAGAACAATGATAGATTTGTCTTCTAATATTGAGAAAACATTGGAAATTTCCACCAATTTTCAAAAGATTGACCTATCTCTGGATCTGACCATCTCTTCATGGTAATCATCAGACGTATTCAAGAAACCCATTCTCGATACTAATTTGACAAATAATAAGTCTTTTACCTTTTCCTAAAAATTTAAAGGATTTATAAGTTTTTTGAGTTTTAAAATTGTGAATGTAATTAATTACTTAAAGGATTTTTTAATACCGTTGTCAATCCATCAAAAAAATCTTGTTAGATGATTTGACTGTAGTATTTATTCATATTATAGTTTTTGTATGCCCAACGTTCAACCATGTCTTATCCAGATAAAAAAATTTGCACTTTTCCTTTCTAAAATTCCTTATCTATTGAAGATATTCTCGTCGCCACAACATAATGTCGTGTCTGTCTAATAAAAGGGCGTTTCTTCCCCTGCGTTGATATTGAAAATGCATTTTTTTAGAATTCTATAAAATCGTCAAATTTAGAAAATCAGGATCATCGTTCACCTCCTTTAAAACTTTATCCACGATGGATATTTAAAAATTTCCTTAATCACCGTAAATACATTTCGATCACAAACTCCAACTTTACTCTCCACTTTTTTACAATATCTCCAACCTGGGACTTTCTATTGTTTCATATTTCAATTAATTTAAAATTATTTCTTTCACTTCAGCGCTAAGAGGACTTCCTGTAGTTCCTTTTCGAGAAGGACTCCATATATTTTTAATTAATTCATCAGCAGAATCAGTGGACCACATTTTTGTTTTCAACAACAGTAATCACGTATATAGGTTAAAGTCATTATACAGATAAAAATAAATACTTTAAGTTAAAATGCACAACAATTAATTATTACTAGTTCAATAGTAACAGCTTAAACATACATTGTCCTTTAACCAACAAAACGACAAAAGCATTACTAAATCGTGATTACTAACAAATCGATTCAAAATAAAACACCTCAATACCAAAATATTAAATCTGGTCCGAACTTGTATTAGTTGCCGACGACCGCCGTCGACTAGCAATTTTTCCGGCATAATAGTAAAGATGGTTATTTCGTTTAGTTTTTGAATATTTTCGGTCAATCGTTACTTGCATAGTCGTTTAAATTATTCATTAATTAAATTAATATGAATATGTTTTCACTGACTATGTTTTCAACGATTACAATAATTTATATACTATGCAATAAAAACTAATAATCGAGAAAAGAGAAAAATTGATAAAGTGATCTTAATAATATACTGTTACTATAGGAACGAGTAAATAAATTTTGAACATCTTTAACAATTAAAATACAATTTTTAGTATATACTCAATACTGAAGAATTTGTTTCTTGCTTAAAGTACACTTTTCAGAAATACAGGTCAGATAGCTCTTGTCAAACTATTGATGAGAGCATAAATAAAAAGAGAGGAATAAAGACATAGGTTCGATATGACTCTGATACAGGTTACACATGCGATATAAATATTTACAGTGGAAAAGGAATCCAAAAATTTGAAGGTACCTAAGAGGAAAGAGTTGTGCAAACACTCTCAAGTACGATAATAGATGATACGTAATGTCGTTTTAGCTTTCGACAAATTATTCACTACTGTAAAACTACTTCACGAAATCAAGTTTTCAGCTATTGGGATAAGGATCAGAAAAAATATGACTCTCCTCAACAATAAGTTAATCAGAGGAGAGTCGCATTTCATTTGATTTGATAAGGCACTAACGAAATACTGTTATTGAGTGATTGTCACACAGATATTTTAACCACTATAAAACGTAAAGGACTTGATAGTATACAAGCAGGCATCTCTTGCTCAGAAGCTATAGCTTTTTACAACTGCTGTATGGGTGGAGTTGACTTAGGTGACCAAATGTCTGGATTATATGATTTAGATAAAAAATCGCTCAAATAGTGGAAAAAAGTCTTTTTTAGACTGACGACTGTCAATAGTTGGATTATTTATAACTAATTTAATCGCAAGACAATTCCATTTCAGTATTTTTTACTGACGGTAGTTGAAGATTTAGTAACCGAAAGAAGAAGCTCTACCAAAGTTTATGTTTGAAAAATATCTGTAGGAAGACCTTCAAAGAGAATGAAGAATATGATAAATGTGGGAGATCATTTACCAATCATAGAAAAATCTCGTCGTCGTTGTACGGTGTGTTCTACACTTAAAATTGCTTTTCTCCTTACCATTTATAAAAATGTATTGTTCACATCTGTAGAACCGCATTATATGACCAAATGATAAATATTAGTTTTTGGTGAAAATAAAAAGGAGTCGCCTTGAAGCAATACATAATAACAGACGGATTCTGTTTCGCATTCACACATTCGGTTTTGCTCAGATAATCTAAGTTTTCGTTATCATGTTTATTTGTGTTAATAGAAAATTATGGACAATAGTCATTGTAGATTTCGTTGGTTATGTGCAATGATCAGTATAGGCTCCATTTTTTTAAGTTTTGACAACTGGCGTGATACGTGACGTTTATAACATGATAACGAAAATTATATTTCAGTTCAATTTGAGAATTTTAAGACAGTTAATTAAATAAATCAGTAATTTCATTGATTGTGTTTTCCACTTTCTTTGTCTGGTTGCATTCTCCTTTCTTATCCTTGCTATTATTTCTTTTATGGTTAATAATACCAAGATATGATCCGAATCGCATTTGCACCTCTACAGGATCTTACGTTGGTTACTCCCCACAGCCAGCCTTAGTGCCTAAATTTTCGGCCGTATCCACCAATCCATCCAAAAAAGGGCCACCAAATATTCTATTTCTCCACAGCTGGTCAACTGGAATGTTGGAGCCTTAAAGTAGGAGACGATCAGACCTAAGTACTTCCTTACACACAATATTCTAGCCTCCAAGTAGTTCGAATAGTCTGCGTTAATAGAGGGTCAATACAAAATGCACATATCCGGAATCCCTAGCCCCTCTCTCCTGGTTTGCCGTGAATTGCGGAAGATGATTGAAGTTCTCGTTGAAATGAATATAGGGATTGAGTTTAGAACTATCAAAATAGAACCGATGGTAGCTACTTTTTACCCATAGAGGACAAAAACCGAAAATTTAGGCCATGTCTTGATCGTATTTGGGTGTACATAAGTTAAGTTACATAAAGGCTTTCGACAGTGTCGAACATTGGGCAGTGAAAAGTTCTTTGATTAACAGCCGAATTGACCACAGATATACGGAACTAATAACTAATATATATAAGGAAGCCAAAACAACAATTAATGTATACGAAGGAACAAAATCATTACAAATAAGTAGAGGCGTGAGACAGGGTGATACAATATCACCGAAACTTTTCAATCAGGCTCTTGAAGAAACTTTTAAAAGATTAGAATGGGAAAAAAGGTATAAAAATTTGTGGACAACGCTTGAACCATCTAAGGTACGCTGATGACATCGTATTGATAACCGATACAAAAGAAGATTTATTTGAAATGATGAAAGAACTGGACGTAGAAGCTGGAAAGATAGGCCTTAATATGAA